CTCGGGGAAAATGGCCTCCCTACTCCTTTGAAGAGCATGAGTAGGCGACAACACACTCCTAAAGTCCCCTGAGGCCCCCGAGCCTGACGGCCCAGCTCGTGTGTGGGTAGACCCGGAATAAGCGGGAGCACCGGAGTAGGTGGGAGTCCCCGTGTGAGTAGTCTCGGCATAAGGGGCCCCCGCCGGCTCCTGCATAAGAGGAACCATCTCGGGCTCCCTAGGCTGATCTTCTGTCGGATAATCCGGCGCCTCGGGCTCCGCACCCTGGGGTAGCTCGGCGCGAGTTCGCTTAGCAACCCGCTTCCTCCTCTTCATGCCTTGGAACAAGTGCCCACCACAGGTCCCCCGAGAGTCCATCACACCTGCGAAAAGAAGTTCGGCATCAGTAAAAAAGCAAAGGAGAGCAAGACAGAATCGCTAGGGGAAGAACCTACCCGAACTCAGGCCGGCCGCAATAAGCTTGGCCTCCGTCAGATACTGTTGACACTTTAGCCAAAGACGCGCCCATTGCCGGAGACCCTTCACCGTCTCTTTGTCAAGTGTGACGCCGGAGTCGGGAGCGGCCATCCCCCARYCGGTCTRAAACRGCCACCCCAGCACACTTCGCACCCCGAAATAGTCCCGCTTCCACGCCGGGACCTTGTTAGGGAGTTCGTGTAAAAGCTTGAAGCCCGGACGAGGAGACATGTAGTATGCCCACCTATGCTCGGGGAGGGGACCCGCTTGCTTTTTAAGCATCAAGATGGAAGAAAAAACCTCCAAGTCTAAAGGAAAGCTCTCTTCGCAGAATAGGGAGATCGTCCCCACTAAATTCCGAATAGAGTTCGGGTGGAGCTGGCCGACCATCACACCGAAGTGGTTTAGAACTTTGACAAGGAGGGGATGGAAAGGCAGTCGCAACCCCACAGCGAACTGCTCCCGGAATATYACGATCTCATCAGGACCGTGTTCCCAAGGAAAGCTACCCGAAGGGATGAAGTAGGCATACTCCCCGGGCAAGTTATAGTAGTTTATGAGGGATTGGAGTCCCTTAGGCGTCATTGTCGAAGGGCCAAACTTGTCTAAAGCCCGACCCCGATGAGAGGTGGACGCCAGACTACTCGAGGCGCCTCGGCCTATGGGTTCAACCTCTTCCTCAAAATCTACATCGGGCTCGCTAGAACTATTGGGGGACGCAACTCAGTTCGTAGAACCTGCGTCAGACCCGCTTGGAGGACTGTCTGAGCTATCCAAGCTAGACATCGGGGAGTAGGAGATGGATTCCAGGAAAGATACTCACCCGGAAAGAAGTTGGAGTAGATCACAGGAGCTCGAACGAGCGGAAAGAACCTGGGACGCGAACTGAAAAGACCTGAGCGCAAACCGAAAAGCCTGGACGCGAGCTGAATCCTGGACGCGAGCTCAAGAGATACAGTAGTAACAGCGACTGGGGTCCCCCCTCGCTATTTATATCCACAGTGACCAAAAAGCAACAACTCAGATCAAAGCCGATCCGATGGCCCACAGTCACGCTGATCACACATCCTCCGAAACCAAGACGTGACCAGCGCACGTCTTCCTGAAACGGACGGCGCCGACGCACGTCTTTTCGAAACTGACGGGGCATCGGCGCACGTCTTTTCGAAACTGACGGGATGTCAGTGCACGTCTCCTCACAATAAAGGCGACAGCAGCACGACTCTCGAAATTTGAGAAAACGCCTACCGTCACGTCTCCCAAGCGGCGCCCTTTTTTGAAAAATTCAAATTAAAGCACTCGCCGTCACATTTATCAGCATTCACTGGAACTCTGACAATACACCTCGCGCCATCAGTCAAGTAAAATTCGAAGTACGGGGCAAATCCACCTGCCACCTTGCAAACTCCCCGTGCCAAGGCAGGACCCTTAGCGCAGGGAGTAGGGGGCAATTGATGAAGGGAAATTTGGCCCGACCTCACAATCACTCCACGTGGAAAAATCAAAACAGCTCGGGACAAACAGCACACCCAAGGCGCGGGTATTCAAGGAACCAGCGGTCCGAGCTTCCTTCTAGGAGACCCGAGCTCCTGACAAAAGAGCTCGAGCCTCACAAGGCAATGACCTGAACTGGCCCACCTCATGGCAGTTCGGGGCACTCCCCACCCCAAACTCAAGACTTCACCTTGTCTCACCGTTCCTGCACCTCGCCTCCCAGATGCCAGGCTGACCGGACGTACCACCCCTGACACCGAGGGTGTCCGTATCCAAGGGCGGCGCACCTGATTGACTTGGGATCTGACGCGTGACAGCCGCACTTCAAATGGCCTCCTGC